AACAAAGTCGAAGTGGTAAATTGGCCAACGTAACGATAACAAAAGCTGACGTTTCGAGCGTTAGCCCTTCGTCGGAGCAAATTTCGCTCCGACGAAGGGCTAACGCTCGAAACGTCAGCTTTTGTTATCGTTACGTTGGCCAATTTACCACTTCGACTTTGTTAATATATCCAAGTTATTTCGTTACTCCCACCGACGCAGCCCCAAACAGTTTCTTTCGAAACTATCAGCCTTTATTACTTTGAAAAAGATTTGAAAGTCAACTTGTAATTGTTGTTAGATAAGTTTAAACTCCAGTTGCGCTTTACACATCATAACCGATCCCCGAATGATACAACTTTATTTTTCAAACTTAGCGCGCCACATTTATTCATCAACTGCACTCGTACTCATCATCACTTGCTCATTCTTCTGCATGCAGGTATGAAACTGTCTGATACAGACACTATATTAGCATTGCGGGAACCCTTAACTGTCCAGATATGGACTCTAAGTGTTTTAAATTCGGGGCTTACTATATTAAGCATAAGGAGTTGCAGTTAGCGGCCAATGTGCATTTAACCACCACTGGAAGACTTTAACACACCGCGACAAACGGTAATTTTCCGTCTCAGAGCTCGCTGGGTATCACTTAGCAAAAAAAAAACTATTAAAGAGTTTACCAAATTCAGACAACGTTAACTAACCTTCATAACTTCCACTTGGACTTCGTCTGCCAATGTAGGAGTGGATGCCACTGTGGCAAGAAACTGAACCGGAAGCTGACTTTCAGGTTCTTCTTCGTTCTCCGACCGAAAACGGTCATCAGAGATTAGCTTCTGAATCGGGACAGTTTATAAACGAATCAGATCAACAGTTTTGGAACCTCGTGCCCAGATCTGTCTCCCGTTAAAATCCCATCACTTCCGCCGTGGAAGGTCAGACTACCGCAACAATTTTAAGGTAATTGCCCCCAGATTTGAGACACTTTGCCGCCTCTTTAGTTTGAATATGAACCACAAAGGATTAGTTTGCTTTTTTTACGTCAAGAATTAATGCGAATGAAATTTAGGCTAAAGGTTTGCTAATAAGTTTATGAATTTCCGATACCAATCATTTTCGGTCACTTTATCTTAGTTTTCATGCAATCTTCCGGATGGAACAAATGGCTCTAAATAATGCTCAAACGATCGAGCATTTCGTTGCGAGCGTTTCCTTGCCTGCGGGAAACTAAGCAACGCGAGACGGCGAGAGGTTAGTGCCAGTTTCCCCCGGCAAACCACTCGACTGTCAAATCTTTCATGTTGTTATTTGAATTTATATTTACAAAAAAGCAAGAAGCTTTTTCATAGCAATAAGCCGTTTACGTAGGGCCATTTTGATCGACAATCATTTATCCTTTTTGATATTACCAAGTATCGGCAGTTTTTCGTTTTATCAAAGTTGAATTGTTATTCGTCTCTAAATCAAATTTCGAACTCAAAAGCGCAGGTTCAAAATGCAGGTATTAACACTATGATCCACCGGTGTTAAAAACCGGGTTATTTGGATCTCTCTCCTTTGACGAAACCCCTCTCACACTCAAAGCATGCGCTAAGATTTTCCTTTAACGGATATTTTATTGAGTTGTAATTCCCTTGTTTAGATTTGTGAGCTGGGAGAACAGCTCTCGGACGTATTTTAGCTTGCCTACAGCAGAACTAAGCAGCGATTTCGATGAACAAAAGAACAAAGCATTCGTCCTTGTTGAAGTACACAATAAACAGCAGGTCTTTAACAAACGAAAAGTGATACAGTCATAAAAAGAGTGTATTCAAATAAAAATTAATCAGCTGGTTAAATAGTTGGAGGACAGTCTGTCATTATTATGCAGTGATATATTGTCTAAAAGGAGATTGTGAAGCCACGTTCTTGACGGTAATTAGCTTTAAATATTTCTGTATCTACTTTCGTATCGCAGTCACCGCTATTTTGTTATGGCAACTTATTGCTCATGACAAAAACGCCAAGCTTGGAGGCATCGGCTATTCAAATCAAGGCGCAATTTTTAATTCGTAGGCAAATGATTGATATTCGAGCTGTTTGTGTACTTCGAACAACTCGGCGTTGTCATCGTAAGTAAAGTACTGAATMTCACACTGCGGCGATTTCATTTTAAGAACGATTCGATTTTATCATCCGTAGAATTGCTTTGATTTTCAACTTCTTTCATAAAATTCGCTCATCAATTAATAAAGTCCAGCCATCCATTGACCGTGCAAAATAACCGTTTCCACATAAATTAGCCGCGAAAAAAACTGAGCATCCACTAACCTGCAATCCATTTACAGCGTGGAGAGAAAGCTTGCTTGACCTCGACTCTAATGCCAGTTTGAGCGGCAGAAAACACTTTTCCCTGAGAAGAGAGAAACCAATGATATTTACATGCAATTTGATCTAATTGTGGTATCCATTTCTTACCAGTTGGAGCCGTTTTATTAAAAAAAATCGTCTAATTTCTGGGACTTACCGCAGCTCATGGGGCTGGAGTTTACGTGTCCCATTTCGATTGATGAAAAGCGCATCTGAAAAATCCAAAAACTAAATGAATCAGCGAATACTTCTAAGCAAATCGTTGGCGACTTCCTTCAAATTGTACGAAGCTTACCCGTCGCCGAAATACACGCGTCTCGTAGGTTCTTTGCTTTGCTCGACGTGGCGTCGTGCGCTAAACTAGTCAACACTTCCTCCATGACTCTCTAACCCATTAGACAAACCACGAAGAGGGAAACATTCAGATCTGTGGTGATTATTCCCTCATAAACCTCAAAATCATCTTCTTAGAAGCCTTTGAATTCACAATATTTTGATTGAGCAGGTCGTTAGCGCGTTCGACGAACAGCATTTATACAATGGAAAAGAGAAGGGCATAACCGATGCGCCGATTACGTGCGCAGTGGTGTGTGCAGATGAATGGCTTCTTCTTGGCACCTGTGTGCTGTCCCATCAGTCACAACCTTATAAGGAAAGCGCACACATACCCGTAACTATCGAAAGTTGGTGTGGCTACGAGTCTGTAGTGTGCAAAACTTCGATATTTTAGAAGAAGTATCCAAGTTTTTACCCGAAAAGACACGCTGCTTTGACTGAGATTTTTGAAATAGATTTCTAAAGTGATCTCGTTTACTCGTCACCAACACAGCCGTGTGCCTGGGAAAACAAAGGAGTTTTGGTCGATCGAAATAATTTGTAAAGCAAATTTTCACGGTGTCTAGATACATGTTGATTTTTTCCATCCAAACAAAAATGAGAGGAAAGGTTTTTCACTGCAACACAAAGCATCTCTGTGACCAATTAAGCTCCCTCTCACACATATTCACACATATTCATGCATAGCAAGAGAGTCCCCGGCTGGGATAATTTCTCTCATGAACAAGTTCACGTTAAATCAGTTTTCAATTTACAGTGTCAAATGTAATATAGGATTGCTTTAGTTTGGCTTTTTTCCGCCATAAGCCAATCACAGCTTGGTCTCACGAGTTTTCCCGCGCCTCAAGCAGTTTGCCTTTTTTTACTTTAAGTTCTGATTGGCTAGTGATCATTCTAACCGTTGTGATTGGTCGTTGAGATCGCTTTGGTTTTGGAAACCGCTTGGTACTTGACCTTACCAAAATTTTGCTTTTTTTTTTCTAGCTCCTGTGACTTAGGAACAACTTTCTGCCAATGTTTCTTGAGATTCACCAAATCCCTTAGAAGTTTCCATAGGAAATCTTGCCCACGGGAATTTTTTTTTTTCAAGTTTAAACTTTTTTAAGACCCTTTTTGTGGCCTTACTGTGGCCTGAGAGCCAAAAAAGAAACAAAGTGGTGAAAGAAACTAAATTTAAAACAAATCTAGATTATTCTGGATCGGACTTAAAGTAACTACGCTAAGTAGTTTTACTTACATAAGATCATCGTAAGAAACTGAATTTTTTCTGGAAGATTTGAATGAGACGATGCTTTTGTAGCTCAGCCGCAGGTATCCCTTATTAACACTTGAACTCTCATGACCTAATTGCAAATTCTCCCCTCTCTTTGCTACACATTACTATGTACATTGGTTCAGAGAATTTGGCCTTCGATCAAAGATTAAAACTTCTACCTGATAAGTTCGAGTATTCTCGTTACCTGTTTGCTAGATGTATGGATATTATATCC